CTATAGATATGGTCAGAATCAAATATGAGAATAAAAACAATAATCTTGAAGCAGACATATATGTAATGGAAACTGTAAACTTCCAGTATATATTGGTGAAACCTGCAGCAATTTAATAAACGTATTTATGAACATAAGAAAGGTTTCATATCAATCTATTCATTTCCTTAATTATACAATGAAGTAATTTCAACCATTCTTGCCATCTCAAATATACCGTGAATATTAAAAGAGAAAATTAATTAATCAAAAGCAAAGTTCTTGAAAGCGCAATTATTGTTTGTTGCCAAGATATTAAATTACGTCCTGGATTTCTTTCAATTATCTATTTTTATATAGAACAGATCCTTTCTCAAGATAACATAATTATGCCAGACCATAATGAGAAAAAAAAAAAGAAAAGAAACATTTAATTGATGAGATTTAAAAATAAATAAGATAAAATAAAAAAAAAAACATAAAAATAAATTAATAATTATCACATTAAAAAAATAACAACAACAATATTAAGTCACTTTTATTTAACAGACCAAAGAAAAAAAAAAATTAATTACTTAGAGTCCTCCGTAGAATTCCTTTACACAATTTATCAGAATTCGTTAGAGCGTTCTCTAATTTTAAATTTGAAAACTTAACGTTATTTTTATCCACGTTACTTTTGTGTATGAATACAGGTTGCTAAAATAAAATTTCTACCCTTGTCTTGATAAAGTTTTTCAAGGAACGAAACGCGTTGGCATAAATCTCTTTCCCCTTGTCATTTATTTTATTAATATTGTCGTTTTAGATATCTTTATGTTGTGGATTCCGGGATGAAATCCTGTCTCAAAATGAATGACAAACGCAGGAATGAAATATAGCAAATAAATATATTGATGTAATAATACAACTGGTAATACGGCTAGTAGATCCAGAAATGCGGTTAGTAGCAATAATAATATATATACAGTCTGGGAAATTCAGTATCGAAGTATGACTTCCTTCTGAGTCTACGTGCTCGCAACTGTGACTCCTACAAAGCAGTTACCTCACACTATCACTCTTTCACTGTATCACTGTCACTGTCACACCCGGGTATTCACCGGCAGCAGTACAAATACACACTGGGCGAGTCCACTTGTATGAAAAAAGGGTGGACCCATTAACACCCCCCCTCCTTAGATCCCTTTTGGGAGAAGTTAGTATTTTTTTCTCTTATGGTCGATAACCAGATGTTCGGTAAATTTTCTCTTCCTGTTTTAAATGATCTCTTGGGTACAATAGGTGTATACTGGTTTTTGTTCTTGTTTGGTAATGATTTGTCAAACACAGACTGTATTTTTACCTTCGTCCTATGCATAAATACATCCTTTTCCGCTTCTCTTCTTATCTCTCGCAAAGTCACAGGTTGTTCCTTTACTGTCTTGTATAACTCTGTACTCTTCTCATCTATGGTAGCAAATGGCACGTTTCGCTTCTTTTTACATACTGGTTGGACGTTTTCTTTTAATTTAATTCTAGCCTTAAATTGGTTGCATCGTCGCAACCCGCTCGAATATATAATTCTTCCTTTAATTTTATAGCATCTGATGGTTCAAACTCTAACTTTTTGCAAAAAGAGCTGATAGGTATGTCCCAAACGTTGAACTTTTGCATCCAGTCGATACCTACTAGATTTTCAATATCTTTCATGACGTATATCTTAAGTTTTATTGTTTTTCCGTGAAATTAAACATTCACGATTATTTCTCCTTCGAATTATATTCGTTTGCCTGTAATCGATTTTGCAATTTTTTTGTGTATGTAACATGGCTGGTCTGTTGAGTTTTCTCCATGTCTGTAGGTTGGTTATCGTGAGGTCGGAACCCAAATCCAGTTGCAATTTTATCTTTTTATTTAATATTTCCAGTTCCACATACTTCCTTATGTTGGTGTTGTCATCGTTATGCATCCTAGTAGCTCTTATTCTACTAGCACCTTTTCTATTCCTACACCGGAATGCCTTGTGGCCCTTTTTTCCACACTCCAGGCAGCTTTTATATCTAAAGCGGGAATTCTTGTTCCAATGTAATCCTCCACATCGATAACATGCTGATGGTGGTGGGGGGCTTATATTTGCTTCGATTTTCGTCATAATTTATCCTGTATGTTGTACTTTTTCTCTTATTATAAAATTTTTGTTTTCTTTCAGGGGATGGTGAGAATCTGTTTTCATTATTGTAGCATTTTTGTTTTCTTTCCGGGGAAGGTGAAGAACGTTTTAACTTACGTATATGAGATACAGCTCAATCCTCAATGTCCTTTGCGTCTTTCTTTATACTTAGACATCTCTGGCAATCTTCCGATAATTGTTGTAGTGTTAGACCCGGTTCATTTTGTAATTTTGAAAGCATTCTTCTGCGCATTTCGCTATCTTTTGTTGAAACTAACCCTTGAACAAAGATGAGACATTTGAAATTGTCCGGTGTGAATTCCGCTAGTTTGAAGTCGTCACAATGTTTATTTACGATTGCGGCAAACGTGGAATAATCCTCATTATCGCCCTTAACCAGGCTAAGGCATTTCCACCTCCTGTGGAAGAGTCATGTTTTCGGGCTGAAGAGTTCTTTCAGACATGTCACTGTCAAATATTAATTCGTTCGTCTTTTTTGGCAAGATATAATCAACGAACTTTGCATATTATTCAGTTCCTAATTTTCTAAGCAATAGATGTAGCTTTTTTGCTTCTGTCCAATTTTGACAGTCGATGTTAAAGATTTCTTCATGTCTTCTGAAGTAATCTCCGAAATTTTTGTCCTCATGTGAGAATATTTGAAAATCTCTATGGTATTCCACACTGCGTCTTGCGAAAAAGTTGCCTCTTTTTCAATATCTAATTGCTTGTTTTTTGTTGTTTTTTTTTTTTTTGTTTCACCCCAAGCAAGGCGAGAAGCCACTAGGACGCTATTTGTTACTTTCAGATAGGAGTGATTTTACCTTTTATTAGTTCCTGTTTGTGTCTTTAATTGCTTTTGCCATTTTCTTCCATTGTTTCTTGTAGTTGTAATTGTTGATCATTTTGGTATTTTATCAGTTCTACCAAAATATTTTTAAAATCTTCCATGATAACTCAATTTTACGTATTTTAGTTCTCGTAACACTTTGTCGCCAATTTGTTGTGGACGAAGAGGGAAATTTTTTTTTTGTTGTTTGTTCTTCCTGTGTGAGTTCAAATCGCTCGTCGTCAATTTGTTGTGGACGAGGGGAGGATTTTTCTATTTCTTCTTATCATGTGAGTTCGAATCGCTCGTCGCCAATTCGCTGTGGACGACGAGGTAATTTTTTTTTTGTTTTCTTCCCGTGTGAGTTCGAATCTTCGTCGCCAATTTGTTGTGGATTCCGGTCTCAAAATGAATGAACAATGCAGGAATGAAATATAGCCAATAAATGTATTCACATAATAATACAATTGGTAATACGGTTAGTAGCTCCAGAAATGCGGTTAGTAGCAATAATAATATATATACAGTCTGGGAAATTCAGTATCGAATTATGACTTCCTTCTGAGTCTACGTGCTCGCAACTGTGACTCCAACAAAGCGGTTACCTCACACTATCACTCTCTCACTGTATCACTGTCACTGTCACACCGAGTATTCACCGGCAGCAATACAAGTACACTGGGCGAGTCCACTTGTATGAAAAAGGGGTACCCCTTAACACTTTATATCTGAATGTTTGTTTACAATGGAGTCGGTTAAAAGCCCCTGGGATCTAAAAGAGGTCGTATGTTTTCTTCCGTACGATTTCTCGAATATTCGAACCGGTACACGTAAATAACTCTACTGTTTAAAAAATAAGCGGACCGTCTACTCAAATACGGGTATTCACTAAATATAACAAGATAGATAGATGAAATCTTAAGTCGTGGAAAGACCGCAATATCTATCTTAGAAAGACCGCAGTATCTACCTTGTTATATAAAAGCAGTTTTGTTTTGAAGGCGTCAAAATTTAGAAGCCATTACTTGCCCTAGTTAACCACTGATTGGAGGTCATTTTCAAGAGCAGCAGCCAGATGTCATCCGTATAAATACTGTCTTGTCTTGAAATGCCACATTTAACTGATTTTTATCTAGAATTATTATTAGCAGTTCTATCATTAGAAACAAAGAAAAGACTAATGAACCGTTATATAGCATCAGTCCTCATATACGGCAAGTGAATACTGATAAAATCCTCAAAGATGAACAATAGACTTGAAGCAACAAAAATGTGGTTCTACAGAAGGTTGCCGAGAATACCATGGCCCGAACATGTAAGCAACGACAAAGTTATAGAGACAGTGACACATAGACTTAACATCGGGAAAGAACAATTAAGGTTTCTGCGATGTATAATGAGGAAAGAGGGCTTAGAAAATTTGATACTCACAGGACAGATTGAAGGTAAGGTCGACAGAGAAAAGCAACGGACAATCTACTTGGCGAGCTTGAGGGAATGGATAGAGGACCATGATGCGCGAGGAATGGCAAAAGTCAGTCAGCTATGTGCCATGCGTGATACACGCTTAGACGATGATGTATCTTTCGATACATGACAGAAGAGGTAGATTTTTTTCCTGCAGTAGGTTGCCATTTCTTTCTGCGGTAGACCAGTTGGCATCCAAGGCTATAGAACCAGATCTGTCATGTTATTTACCAATAGCTTGGGGGTGGGGAGAAAAGAGGATTCATACCTTTCCCAAGGGTATTAGCACGCAAGTGAATGTAATGGATTCGACTGGAATTCGAACTCGGCTCTCCGATTCCTCAATCTGAGTCGCTGTCCATTACTCCACACTACCTCCACCGTATCTCCACCGTTCTACCTTCCTCAGTCCGGGCCGCTATGCCAAAAGTTTTTTAAGAGCTATCATAGACAGGAAATTGTGGAGAGCCATGATCGCCAACGTACTGAAGGTACACGGTACGTAGAAGTGTTATAAAACCGATAATCTTTTTGGCTCTAGACGAAATCTCTAACACCGACAAAATTAGCCCC